GCTGAGGTGGGTTTACCCCCCACTTCCTCTCTCACTGGAGGTAGAAACAGGCCGGTCTCACATTTCTACCTCCACCATCAATACAACAGGTACACCACCAGGCCCTTTCTACCTGTTCTGCAATTACAATTTGCTGAGTCATCCGGGCAATGGGCTCACCCTGCAGTGTCACTCACAGCTGCTCTCCTCCCCAGTGAATGACAATTTAAAAAGACCTGTTTGTCAGGAGAGGCAGATCAGGAGAATCTCATTGAACCACTGCACAGACAGTATGCTGCTGCTGCTGCTGCTGGCTCCTGGTTACTAATAATAACCCTAATATCCCTACAGTGAGCAGGAGGTGACAGTGACCCAGTGACAGCCTTGTGTCCAATTTACACTGAATTTAAATAATGACGTAAAGCTTACTGTGGTTTGCATTATGTTATATTCATAAAGTTAGGTATCTAGACTTACACAATATCTGAAAATTGGTTTCAGTTACTCTAAGTGTAATGTCACATGGGTTTAACTCACCAAATAAGCCTGATTAAAAAAGATGTATATTTTACATATCAACAGGCTAGGTGTGATTTAGGTTCAATGACACAGCGCCCCAGTCAAGTACGATATTACATAGATATGTTAAAGGGTGAAGGCTCATGACATTCAGTTTTTAAAAGTTTAGCCAGCATATGATGAAAGCTGGCTGTGTACTGAGAGAGGTTGTGTCCGGCTGTATGTTTATCTAAGTGACTTACTCTGTCTCACAGTCGTTCTGCAGCTGCGCAGCTGTGGTTGTAGCAGGATCCATTGGTTGACATATTCCAGTCCTTACATTCAGGGAAACCAAGTTATGAGGCTGGCGACACGCTCCTCTGTCTCTGCTTTTTAATTACACCACCACAGGCTAGTTTCTAATGTTTTGTAACATGTACATTCCGAGGTCAGCTGACCGAGCACGGAGATCGTCTATTACGAAGATGCGTCAACAGTACGCAGAAAGCGTCACTCGTCTTCCGTCTCATGCAAAGTCTGAAGAGGCGTTCAAAGTAACGTTAGAGCCAAAGCTAAAGCTGGCTAATATTCGCCGTGCATTAATTTAACAAGGACACAAACAGAGAGAAGTGTATTGCTGTTGTTGTACACAGCGCTGGGGCCTTTCGGGTCCCGAGAAAATTGGCGAGAGTACGGTTGACACGATTTCATCTGGAAAAACTGTCAGAGTAAGTCATCTTCATACGTTTTACACCTCTCTGTCTATGCTTTCAACCACTGCTTCTTTCCGTGCGACCCGGAGGTTATTTGCCGTAACACCAAGGCCGCTTCCGGTTAATGAGGACACGTCACTCATTGGACTGAGGAAGAGGACCTGTGCAGAACTAGCTTATTGACCCATTTTGTACAAATTAGACGGCAGAATCATGTCGAATTCAGTCATATCGGTGATTTCTCGGTTTCTGGAGGAGTACAGCACCACGACGCCCAACAAGCTGAAAGTGGTGGACGCTTATTTGCTGTACATCTTACTGACAGGAGCGCTGCAGTTCCTCTACTGTCTGCTCGTCGGCACCTTCCCCTTCAATAGCTTTCTGTCGGGCTTCATCTCGTGTGTGGGCGCCTTCATCCTCGCAGGTAAGCACTTGTTTAGTTAAATGTTGTTATGTGTTGTCAATGAATTGTACAGTGCGTCAGTTCGAGGGCTTCCGTCCGGTCAGTGGACGTGTGTGCAGACGCGTGCTAGCTAACCAAGCTAAACCCCTCATGGATTGAGTTGTAAATATATGAAAATATAATAAATGAACGTACTGAAGTGTGGAAATGTTCACACATACACACTGCTAGAGTTACAAAGTACACTCAGTTACCCCTTTAGGGATACCTAGATATAAAAAGCACTAACCCCTACCTTAATGGAGGTTAGAATAGTCAATAATAGTAGTGACAATAGTTTTTGTAGAGAGGCGTTGATTCAAAGTTTTAGTTTGCAGTGTTATTGAGTTGTTACACATTGTACCCTGAGTTTCTGAGTGTTGTGTCCACCCAGTTTTTTATCAGACTAAATATTTTAATATCATACAATGTATAATATCTGATGCAATACAGTTCAAAAGCACCACAAACTGCAGCCTCCAGAATCACTAAACAGATTCATCCAGTGCCTCTCCAGCAGTTTCAGTAAATCCTGCACACTGTAAGAATGGAGGTAGGGTTGGATCTATTGCAGGCGTCTTGCATCAGGTTTAGGTAGGTGTGCCTAATACAGTGGCAACAAGGTATGCCATTAGTGGAGGGCAGTTAGAACCCAGTTACTCAGAGCTCATATTGGCTCAACTAGATTACTTGCAAACTTCTCCATAATTGATAAACCGGGTGAGATTGAGCAGGTGGGTTGATATGATGGTCACTGCATTGGACTGCGTGATTCGTTTGGCTATAAAATGTCAGAAAATAATGATGCTAGCATTTTAGCATTTAGCTAGCAAACTTAGCTTTTATCTTTTAACCATCTTCAGAATGTGGATGTTAGGTTGTCTGGAGCCACCTGTCTGTAACAATGTAAGCAGAGCAACAACAGCACAGCCTTAGTTTCACTTCAAAAGGCTGACTTTGTCTACATTAGTGCCGAAGAAACATTTAAAAGCCACACAACTTGTGCTGTTTTATGTGCTAAACTAACAAAGGGCAAGAATGTAAGTTGACGATAAAAATCTATTTCATTAACATGCCTTTTTATTGTGTCTGAGTACAAAAATAATACTAAACCCTCCATGTCTTGTGCTTTTTTTTTTTTAGTGTGTCTTCGCATCCAGATCAACCCACAGAACAAAGGAGATTTCCTGTCGATCTCCCCAGAGAGAGCCTTCGCTGACTTCCTATTCGCTCACACCGTCCTCCATCTGGTTGTGATGAACTTCATTGGCTGAAACAGACGTGCTTCTGACTCACAGTGTCCTCCTCTCAGAAGGTGTATATTTCACACATGTGTTTCTCATTTTAGGAATTTTTTAAGTTGGATTCTTTTTACATTACATGGCATTTTTGCTTATAATATGAACCACAGTGCAGATGTTCACGCTTAGTTTTGTTTATTTTTATTACTGATATTTGACACTTATTGTGTTAGTTTTCCTTCCAGCTGTCTGCTTCTCAGAGTATGGCCTTTCTGCAGCTGTTGGTTAAGAATACGTCCTTGTTTGAGTAATTTCTCCCATAGGAAGTTGAAGCTAGTGCTTTTTGGAGCCTTGACAGAGCCCACTAATCAATTAGGCCTGAACATTCTTCAGTACTGACAGGTTTTATTCTGTTTTTTTTTAAATAGTTGAAAACCAGACCAGTCAAGGATGAACACCACATACTTTAAAGTTCCAGTTCTTAAGTTTTCACTCCTGGTTGATTTGGCGACACCTGCAGTTACTGGTAGCAGCAGCAAGTGCAGTTCAGTACTACCAGGCACAGAATTCTGGGGGCAGCAAAACAAGCTATTGTCGTTTTAATAAAGATGTCAGGGTATAACTGGCCTTTTCCATCATTCTGTGAGGAACCGTGATCGGATGTTATGCTGCACACAGAATGAGTCTGTGAGCAGTGAAAGTGGCTGCTCCTTCTTGTTCTATTACTCCCTGCAGTATTTCAAACTGATCCACTGTCAAAAAAATGCCAAAAACGACAGTTTTCTTGTTTTGTAGACACATTCTTGATGAACGTTAGCAGTCAGTGTTAAGCTAACTGATTGCATTTCCTGTGACTACTTCATAATAAAAGTCAAACTGTGTTTCACAAGTTAAATGCTTGCAGTAGGAAATGTTCAGTTTGCATTAGCAGTAACTTAATACTGCATTTTTTTCTGGGAACGTCGCTACAGGCACCCAGTTTGTAGTCCTGCAAATTTATAAATATTGCAATACTTTCAGCACTGGGCCATAGGCTCAATCACCATTGTGTTACCTCATTCGGCAAGGACGTAACATTTATTCAAATGAAAATCTTTGAGATTATTACTTAAAAGAATGTCTTTTTTACGAGCATGGTACAGTCATTATCCCTAAATATGACAAAATCTCTCTCGAAGGTGATGTGCGTGTGTGTGTGTGTATGTGTGTGAGATATGTATCAGCATTATAGTGTAGAGTCTCTCAATAGACAATAAATGGGACATTTTAAGTGGGCTTTTATACAGATATATGCTTTATTGGTTTATGCCTGTAAAAGAAGAAATATACCTTTGTCCTTTGGGTGCCCTCAGTCACATTAACCATTCTTGTCAGTTCATCACTTCATTCTCAGTGGAATGGCTTCAGATATTACATGTGATAAGACATACATCACTCTTAATTCTCTGGGGAGATCCACATGATACCACATATTGCCTTGCTGGAAAACAGTGTTATTGAATTTTCAGACTTGCAGGCTGGTGGAAACGCCATACTGCATCCTCTTGTTTCCCTTCAAACAACGACTCCTACAACTCTAATGTCACTAACCCCACCACCTCTTTTTTTTTTTTCATAGGTCACAACAAGAGAAGATATCAAAACTCCCCTTCAAGACATGATGCTACATCTACTTTTGTGCCACTGATTCGGACAGTCCCACCCCACCACCATCACTGAATTAGTTGCATCTTGTCACATATGATGCAGTACAATTTTCTTACTGATAATGGTTGATTTTGTTCATTTTTTTTATGTTAAAATTTGTAAAGCATTCCCTTTTGCACTGGAAGAAGAAATAAAAACAACTAAAATGGTGACCTTGAATAATGAAGTGGTTCTTGATTAAAAGGTGCTCCATTTCATTTAGTTTTCAGTAGACAGTAGACTTCAGTAACACACTGTGTGAAACAATGCCACAAACATCATGCAGTGGTGTACTACAGTACCCCCCTAACCCATCTTTATAAGGCTGACCTCTGCATATTGCTTCAACATAAGGTTTGGAGGAGCTGGTTACAGAAAGAGAAACATCTGTTTAAAGGTTGAAAAGACAAAATACATTAATTTAGCTAAACTTGCCAGAAAGGGGCTCCATCCCCTGTAGAACTTGTTTTTGAACCCCACAGATTGCATCATCTATTAAAAGTTGAAGAACTACAATATATTTTCAACCAATGAGTGCTATAACTGGAGCAGCAGGTCCGCTGCCTATCATGCTAAGAGAGTGGAAAGCAAGAACATTACACCCCAGAGCAATGAGAGGCTTTGCTTCTATTACTTGTTCTGGAATAAGTGACAGAGTCGACATTGCAGCTCAATTGCTTTAAACTGCGCAGAGCTGTGGGCTGTGCATGTGTGGGCCAGTTTGAACTGGACATGAAACTGCCTGGCATTCAGAGATGAAAAACGGACTGAATCCCGCTCGTATTCCAGGTCTCTCCTGTAAAGGTCAGATCTAAATCTCTTCCTATGCTGATTTAATGGCAGACAAAGCCACCTCCACACATTAAACAGATAACACTATCATCTGTCCTTTTATAAAGGGGTAAGCATAAAGTAGTAAGAGTGAAGATTCTGGGAACAGAGAGACTAGATTTTGGACACATTTAACCTGAAACAATCTAAACAAGGCAGGAGATACCACATTTCCAGGAGGGGGGATGAGCCTTAATTCACTGTGACTATGACATTCAATAGAAGTCTTGTCCTACATATAGGGTGGGTTTAGATAACTGGAAGCTACTTACTGTCAGTGGTGGAATTAAATTTAAATGCTTTACTCAAGTAAAAGTAGCAGCACCACTCTGTAAAAGTACTCCATTAAAATTCATTCAAAACAATGCTCAATTAAAAAAAAAAAAGGTTAAATAAGTATGTCTTTCATCACTGCTATAATTGTTACTGATGCATTTACATGTACACCACATTTTAATGTTGGGATTTGTCGAGGTAAAGCTGATTCTAGCTATTCATATACTGTTTGACTGTTTAATTCAAAGTATAACAATAGATTGCACTTTATATGCTCATCATAGGTTTTTAAAACCTACTCTACATAGTAACTTAAGCTAAATATGGAGCAAAAGATACAATATCTCCAATAAAGCTTAGTACTGGTTCAGTAAATGTCCCTGGGGACCCCACAAATAAACTGCTGTAAGAAACAACCATCAGAGCAAAATGTTAACACCTTCAATTATGACCCATGGCACAAATAAACTCAAACATGAACTCAATAAATAGTTCTACTGAAACTACATAAGCGGAAGTGGGTGCTTTTGACTGGGGTCCACCAGGAAAACATGAAAGCACAAATTAAAACAGGAACAGAAAACAATGATATAAAGGCATTAAGGACACACTGATTGACAAAGTCCTGACAGAATGGAATGATGAAGATCCTGTGAAAAGTGACACATTCAAAACCACTAAGAAATATATATTAGAACCCCAATAATAAAAGCATTATTTTGCTTAAGCAGTACGGTATGCAAGGTTTACAAACATTAAGACATTTCAGAGTCAGAGCTTTCAAAAAACTGTGGGAATGATGGCACAGAAATGGATAAAACCTCTCTTTCCCTGACATTTTAATCCGGTTTACATATGAGACAGGAAGGAAACTTGTGACTATCTAGTTAATCTTGCTTAGTTTGATGCAGCATTTCGGCAAAATAAAATCTATTTCAAGTCTCTTGTAACAGAGACAGATACTGTGTCTGAACCAGTTTTTCACAAAGCTGAAAGAGATGCCAGGATGATATGTCGCGGGGCATGACCGGCTGGAAATGATTAGTTCTGTGAAAGTTAAGTTTCGATTCTCAAATCTGCCTGACCGGACAGTTTCAATTCTGAGTTCTGTCTTTCCAGGAAATGGATGACCATAAAAGGCTCTGTAGTCAAAGCATAAAGCATGGGACTTAAAGGGACATCCTTGACACCCTTCACAGAGCAAATTGAGAGGCTTGGAATAATTGTTTGTTAATTCAGTGGCTGAGGGGGCTGTGTGTGGAAGCTTAATCCAACAAATGAAGACTGGACCAAATCCAAAGTTTTCAGGCATCGAAATCAAATTAGTTCATTGTAGCCTGCCAAATGAATTTTCTGCATTCATGGAGGAAAGGCTCTCAGCATCTGGTCGTTTGGGAGAATAGGTTATTAAAAAATGCATAACACTGAAATAATAAAAGCAGGAGATAGATAAAGATAACATACGTTTGTTAAAAGAATAGTCATACATTTTCCAAAGTAAGCGTATTCACTTTTTTGCATAGATTTAGGTTGATGCCACCTTTATGTTTGTACGCTAAATATGAAGCTAAAGCCCAGGGACGAATAGCTTAGCATAGCACATTGCCACCCTATATATGGTTTATTATACCTGTACAAAAACCTGAGTAACGAAAAGATAAAGTTATGGTTTTACGAGTTATTTGCCACGTAAACTTGATTAATTGTGAACTTAAGTGGTGCTAGAGAGTTATCTTTAGAATATATTTTGAAGCATACAACAGAAATACAATTTCAAATACAACATTTTTTATTGATTTTTAAAATTTTTCACACATTTTGCATTAGTGGTAGTAAATTCAACCATACTAGTCACTAACTTTGTTTGCCATTTGGTGCCAGGCAGTTAGCATACAGTAGGTTTATCCAAGCTCACTGAAAGCAGCTGCCTGTTTCACGAGAGCATTGCGGACTGTAAAACCAAAACAATAAGCTGAAAAACGTTAAAATACCTAAGACTCGACAACCATGCTAACATTACACTAACTAACAACACAGCAACAATGCTAACATGCTGATTTTTAGAAAGTATGTTTGCCATGTTCACCATCTTAGTTTAGCATGTTAGCATTCTATTTTTGCTAATTGACACTACAAGGACGAATGTACAAATGTATGATGAAGAAATAATAATAGTTTTTAAAATATTTGGTCATAAACCAAAGTATTGGACAGAATATAATTTTAACCTGATGATGGCGCTATATGAAAGTCAGGTGATCAGGAAGTGATTACAAGCTCAAGCTGAGGGGGAATATTATAATGTTCACTCTACATTCAACAGACATGCATGGCTAAAACTATTGTGCACCTTTAAGAATACAGGTTTTTACCATCCTTAAATGTTTTCACTGAGATTTCAGGCTGAAAAAACATCAGTTTGTTCGCCCCTTTTAAAACATTTCATGATCTGAGAAAAAATTAAAAGCTGGACCCATAGACACATCATGGTATTTTACATCAGTGCTCCAGTAAGTGGATGCAGCTTTTGGGTATTTGCTAAAAGTATTTCTTACAATTGGCACTTACATGGTTAAAATCTGGAACATCTGGATCCAACTTATGGTCACATGACAGTGGGCAAATAGGCTTTGCGGAACCTGGATCCTGTGTTTACATACGTCAGGGAAAAATTCACTTGGTCAACTGCAAACTGTCTGTGAAACATGCCGAAGCCCTTCATACTCGCCCTCAGCCTGTTACCATGGATCCCAGGTAAGAACTGTGACTACTGGGGTTATATGCTTACAAAGGTTGTACAATAATTGCTGAAAGAAAGAGTTCTCAGGATGATTAATGTCTATTCTGCAGACCCTTCACTTTATTATTGTGCTTTTGGCAAATATTGGCGCTACATTTTAAGATGTTTCTTACACTTTACTTCTTTTTAAGATTTTATTACTTGTCTGTATTAATCATTTGTTGAAGACAAACTAAAAATGTTACCATTTTCTGTGGGAGCTGGACATAGAAAAGTGTTTGTTTTGTTTTTTAATCTTCCTAGCTTCTGTATACTCTTTGCCCCTTGGCAAGAGTATGTGTGATGTTTATTTTGTCAGGTCTCCAAAGGCCTGTTATAGGCCTGTTATATTTGTCTCCCCAAATCTCTATTATAGAGGGATAATCCAATTTTGGAATAAGACGTATGAAGAGGGAAGTTAAAGTTGTAAAAGTGTTTTGTTACAAAGGAAACTGCAACCGTAAATGTGGCACAAGTATTGCTCAAGGCCACTTTCCCCCAGTTCTTCAATCGTATGAGTGTCCGCTGTGGTTTAATGTTCTGTTCTGACTACAGCCTGACTGAAAGTTCAAGCTAGTGTTCAACATTCAGTCATCTCCTCTTTCCATTAGCCTTCCTCTGCAGGGTAACCACCATGGGAGAATATTCAGTCCTGGAGGGAGAATCCCTCATAGTCCCGTGTCATTATGAGCCTCAGTATGCCAGCTATGTGAAATACTGGTGCCAGGGGAGGATGAGGGAGTTCTGCACCAGCTTAGCCCGTACAGATGACACCCGTTCGGCCAATCCAGTTGAGGACAAAGTGAGCATTTTTGATGACCCAGTCCAGCTGGTGTTCACTGTGACCATGAACAACATGAAGGAGGGGGAGTCTGGGTGGTACATGTGTGGCGTGGAGGTAGGCGGTATGTGGAGCGCTGATGTTGTCACTTTCACTAACGTCAAGGTCATTCATGGTGAGTAATGGAGTGATTTTGAATTGATTAACCGTTATTGATGCCTGAATGCTTATTACAAATGCAAGCTCTTAGCTTAAATTGATTCCCTTCCTGCAGGTATGTCAGTGGTGAACAGCCAAGTGAGTGGGGAGGAAGGGAGTAGCGTCACAGTCGAATGCCTCTACAGTGAGAGATACAGGTATTTGATTGGGCTTTTCATCATATTGCAATTGTGTCAGTTTTATTTACCATACACCGATCAGCCATAACATCGTGTGCACCAGGGCACCTTGACTGGTCTGCAGTCCCATACCAACAAACTGTGATGCACTGTGTGTTCTGACACCTTTCTATCAGAACCAGCATTAACTGTTTCAGCAGTTTGAGCTACAGTAGCTTGTCTGTTGGATCCTGTCTCTAGTTCACCTTGGAGCTTTTGATAGGTAGTGACCACTGCAGACCGGGAACACCCCACAAGAGCTGCAGTTGTGGAGATGCTCTGACCCAGTTGTCTAGCCATCACAATGTGGCCCTTGTCAAAGTCGTTCAAATCCTCACGCTGCCCCATTTTTCCTGATTCTAACACATCAACTTGAGGACAATGTTCACTTGCTCCCTAATATATCCCACCCACTGACAGGTGCCATGATAACCAGATCATAAGTGTTATTCACTTCACCTGTCAGTGCTCATAATGTTATGGCTGATTGGTGTAGAATCCTCACTTGTAAAATCCAGCATTTATAAAGCAGTAAACCTGAGAAACATGGTTATTTGTTTGGGATTTTCAATTCAAGCCACACTCTGATGGACAGTCAACCTTCACTGACTCTCCTGTGACTGCTTGTCAACAGAGAAAGTGAGAAGAAGTGGTGTCGGAGTGGAGACTGGAGCTCCTGTGTGCTGACAGGTTCTGACGGGAGCTACGAAGACACTTCAGTGGCCATCAGCGATGACAGAACTAGGACTTTCACTATAACCTTAAAGGACCTGCAGTTGAAAGATACCGCCTGGTACTGGTGTTCTGCAGGACAGGAGAAGATAGCTGTGCATGTGGTGGTCACACCTCGTCCCTCGACAAGTAGGTTGACCTTAAAGCAAATTAGATCATAATTATTAGAATCTTTCTTTGCATTCAGTGGGTATCTAGACTCTGTTAGCTAGTGAACCATTCCTATTTGATTCATGCACAAGATTTTTTATTTAAAGCAGCATTATTTTATTTTTTTGGGCATTTGGGGGCCCCGGAACATGCAAACACAACATTATTTACATACACATATTATTACTTTATAAAGTTCAAATGTAAGTTTTAGCAAACAGCCTATTTTCACATCCCTGAGCAACATTAGCATTCATGTAGAATTGTGAATCTGTCCCTTTGGTGAATGTTGACCTTAGTCCAATACTCTTTTTAGCTGTGACCAATTAATTTTTCATTAATTTATTTAGGCTAGTTTTTGTTTTGTGAGTAACATAAAGGGGCTACAACTTGCATTTCCTTGTACAATCCTGTGTTATAGAATAATAAATAAATGAACACTGTATCTTGTAATTTAAAGATTTTTCATTCTGGACTGTTTTTGGACCCAACAGACTGACTGATGCTGCCGTCTCTAGAGTCTACCACTAGCATAGCTAAAAATACTGAGATGTGCACCTTTCAAAATACAGGTTTTTATGACCCTAAAACATTTTTAGTATGAAAAAACATCTGCTGAAATCTATTGATCCTAGCAGGTGCAGACCAATCCTTGTGCTATGGGGAGTTGGTTAGATAGTGATCTTCCAATTGAAACTCCTGAATGTTATTGAAAACTATTTAAACCTGGTATTGTAGATATGAAAAGAGGCACAATTTCCTTGACTATGTGGCCTTTTCCCCACGTCAGTTTGCGACTACTGAAATGAAAAGCGCTGTTTTAGAGATCAATATGTGATTGTGACAGATGGCAGGGGCTCTTAGGTCTCCAGCTGTATAAGGTATTGATTATTATGAGTCACTTATCAAGAATCTTGATGTTATGAACTGTGCAGGTGCTGCTACAAACACTATTTTGCTTATAGTAGTACATAATTTTTTAGCTTTGTGTGTAACATCTTCATCTACAGCAGCGGTGCCTACGACATCCCCACCAACACCAACTCAGTCTGATGCACACCTGCCCCCACCCATATCCATCACCATGGAGTCCTGGAACACTCACAGGTAAGAGTGAAGCACCTCTTTATGATTGTGGTTTAAAAAGCCTTTTTTTCTTACAGTATTTAATGTAAATCTATTCTTAAAACATTGCTCAGCAGTGGCAGTTACGCCATATGCACCTTATCGCTACTGTTTTTAGATAAAACTCCTTCTGGGGCACACTGTCCATATTTGAATCTAAATTCACACATTTAACATAAAGCGTCAGTCCTTTACAACACCTTCCATGTTTGCACACTCACACTATTAACCATTACTGGTGCTTTTCTATACTGTCACGAAGGAGTTCATTCAAAGCCAAGTGCAGATAATGATCATATCATTCTTGCCCAGGAGTATGTATCTGTCATCATCTTGGCCGTCGTGTTATGTAAAAACAGATGCAGCATAAGCCTGAGCTGCTCTTGAAGCTGTGTCTATGTGTCTGTGTTTTAGTCACATCTTGGAGACCTTGGTGGTGTGTTCTTGTTTAATACTCCTCGTGGGCATGGCCATACTGGTGAGAAAGTTGTGGAAACTGCACAGTAAGGCAATATCTTATTCCTGTGAATATTAAATAGTCAATTTGGGCAGAATAATTAGATTAACATCCTCTGAAATATTTTACAGGCTTTAAATATCTTTGGGTGAGATGTTTGCATTATTATCTGTGGCTTACAGATCCTCCATATCCGGAGCAGGATCCAGTGCTGGGAGAAGTTAAGTTCGAGAAAGGAAGGATCAATGTAAGCCCCCATTAAAATATCTGTCACTATTCTATTACACACTATTTAAAAATAAACACTATTTTCAAGGATATGCTTTAGCGATTATCATACTAATTTTTCTTTCCGTCTCCAACAGAATTACTCAGGGGATATAGGTAATTCTGCTGTCATCTTCCCAAACAGGCGATCCCAGGACGTACATATCGGCTGAGCCTAATTAGCACAGTGTATTGTTTCTCTTTGCAACTGAATGTAATTTTTGTGTTAGTTTACTGCACTAACGCATGCTTTATTTCCACTGTCTTCATAACACCACATTTAAAGACATTAATGATGATTTCTGCTTGCTACGCTACTTTCTATATGCAACTGGTACAGGTTGAAGATCTTGTAGTCTCCTGTAATACAAATTTACAAAAATATAATTATGTGCACTTTGGTTAGAAGCAGTGCCGTAACTACCACTAAAGACACTGAGGTCATGTCGGAGTTTACATTTTTTGTTTAAAAAACGTACACATGGCATTTTTTAGGCCAGTTCCACAATTTCTTGATCGAGTATATTTAAATTTAAATAAAAAATTTAAAAAATACAAAAATTAAGGGAAAATAAAGTAGTAGTGCTGGATTATACAGGTCCATTATCTAATGGATCTACGGAAAAGAGACTATGTTTGTTATTGTAATTTGAGTTTAACTTGGAATAACTAATTTTTGGCCACAAACAAGCACACACAAGTGACCTTTTCAGTCAGTATGGCAAACTTTTTAGCTAATCACACATACAGCAGATATGAAGAAACATTATCTTTCATTAGGAGTCGTGTTTGTGTCCCTCTGATGAATGTTAATCCATATTGTCGACTCTTCTTTTAAACGTTGTCTGATCTCCGCCAACTCCTGTGGGAAATATGTGGCTCTTTAGCGGCCGAATGCTCCACTATGTTTACTAACTTAGCAAAGTAGCTAACCATGTCTGTCTGCCATTTGGTGCGAGAGTAAAAAGCTGTAGGCCGTAAAACCACAACACAGTAAAAAATACGCTACGAAGCTAGAAGTAGAGCTGAGGGGAAAAGTATAGTGATAGTGTGATATGTACATTTTGTTTTCCAGAGGAATAAGGTAGGTAAGTTATCAATCTGCACAGACCAAAATACCTCTGGGCACAAATGGAGGGACCTACAACCAAACAGCAATGAAACATGTGTTGAGCGCATTTGGTACATTAAACTTACCAAATGTCAGAAGTATGGCAAGCACACCTTTCTTATTAATAAAAGTTTAAAGACATCAACATCAACAAACATCAACTCATGACTCAGTATCTAAAACCATGGTTACGGCCCTGCTCGAAGTCTACATATTCACAGTATGTAATGAATTGTATTTTAATTGTATGAACAGTTAACACCAATCATGCTACTCAAGAAACAACATACCCTTCAGGTGTAGTGACTACAAAGACCATGAACACTGACTACAGCTGGTTTAAAGTTGGTGAAAGTTGTTCTCAGATCCAAACTGCTGTTTGTTGCCTCTGAATGTTGCAAAGAAATTCTAATGTGAATTAATAATATGTGCAAGATGGTAAATCTGTCTGCATGGAAAGCCCGAGGGACTGACAGAAGCACATTTTCAGTTTTGGTTGATATTTTAGTAGAACTAGACCGCTGTGTTTATTTCATAACAAGATAACAATGATGGCTAATTATTAAATTTAGGCATGAATACACTCTACAACTTGCGGAAGCAAATTCAGATACACAAACACTTGCGAGATGTACTTATTTTAAGAAAGAAGTGAGCAAACGAAGACAGAAACCATTAGGAGGAGTTCACAAATGAGAACAGCTCTACATTTCATGCTTGAACTGTCTGTTCTCGTACTGAATCTCAATTGACGTGTTAGAATTGTAAATTGAACAAGCTAATGAGACCACCAAAACAGCAGTGGAACCAACTAGAGCTTAGAACTCTTAGTAATAACTTTGTTTCACCTTCATATGAGGAAAGGCCATTTTCTTGTTTGTGAATGTTTGGAAAAATAAAATATCAAAGCTTCAGTGCTCCTTTGTGGTGTCATGTAGTGCTTTTTTGGTGGCTGTAAATTCTGGTCTTTCATGAGCATAAAGCTGACATTGTATGACTTTAGTGTTATATCTCTCTTTATAATAGCCATATTACATGATATGTAAGGGAAAAAATGACTGCATAATATTGCCACAGAGGTTAGGACAAGAGACAACAACAACAACAATGGGTGGCTGCTGTTAGCAATACAGTCTTTGTGCTCAGTGACTAAGGTAACAGAACAGCTTTTATTTGATGATGGGTTTGAATTACAAGAAATGGAATTATTTTAACCCTCCATTATGACCACAGTAAAAGACTATTCTGCATTCAGTTACTTATTATGAAGTCGACTGACTCATCTGTACATTTATTTATAATGCCATTCCTCCAGCATCTCTCTACCTGCGTCACAGAGCTCATTTGCTTTTGCAATCATTACCTCATGACACAGGACATATCTGTATCCTGTTCCTAATGTATGGACAGAAATGGGAAAGAAAGGCTTCATGTTTTCTGCTCCATGCAGCCAATTGAATTATATTTGACAGAATTCAAGACTACTGTAAATGCCATGGTAAATGACTCCTTTGTTAATCATGTTTGTAGTTTACTTTAGCCTTGTTTTCATATGGTCAAATGCTTTTTGTATTGTTTAATCTGGTTTTGAATAGTTTTGTCTGCAAATTAATGCTGCAGTCTTGGCCAGGTCTCCCTTACAGAAGTGGTTTCCAACCTCAATGGGGCTCAACTGGTTAAATAAATGTTAAATTAAAGGTTCCATTAGAGCAAACAGCAGGGTAAAACGATTCTTTAAGATACCACTACATCATTAGTCATGCTATGTGAATAGGGATTTTTCTTTCATTTCATCCAATTATAATGAAACTTGTTTGTGTGAAATAACTTTTATGCCTGTAATTACTATTTGCACTGTCCACTTATAAATATTTTCTTTTTAAAATGTCATGGCCAGTAAGCAATATGAAAGCCATCCCCTCATTAGCAAAATTACCAAAACACATCCCCTTTGTTAGGATGTGTTGAGATGGTTTGTTATAAAATTGGTTGATACAATTACCAGGCTACTTCAGTATATGTGGCACTGAATCATAGTGCAAGTTAGACATTAGGATATTCTGAGGAAATTTTCTCTAAGTGGACATATTTGAACTTGCATTTAATGCCCCTGCCCTCTATCAGAGAGAGTGTGGGGGCAGAAGGGTTAACTGAGGTTTGAGTCCCAGAGTCCCATTCATGGCTCTGAAATATCAGTGGCCTAACTGTGTATTGATAAATCAATGGAGCTGTCCATGGTATTGAAGTAGCAGACAGATTTTCGCCTTTTCCTCTCAGTTCTGCCCTTCTGTCAGTGTTGTCTTAAATCAATAATATTCTCTAAACCAAGTTTATAGTGCAGTACTTAAAACCGGTCTTTTAAGCAGGGTGCTCCAATTGGGCCATCTCCCCTGTTAGAAATGAACAACCTACTGGTCATGGTAGTTATTAATTGTAGTCCTCATTTATATAATAAATATTAGAATATTTGGTCATTTACAGGGGGATTTGTCATTTTTTATTTAAAGATTTGCAGTAAGACGTATGTTAATAATTGATTAAATCATGTAGAAGGTTAAATAAAGGCGGAATGAACAAAATATTTTTTAGAAAGTCTATACATTACCGACTGTTAAGGGTGAAGCTGGTGTATATCTGCACTATCACGAAGGTTTTTAAACATATTACGATCTCTAGGTGTCTTTTTTTAAAAGAATGTTTGAATATTTATACACTATAATAATATATTTTATTTTACTATTTTCTTTTCTACTCTATTATTTTTCAATTATATTCTGTTCTATCCTACTCTTTATAGGCCACTCTAGTCTAGTTGGGTTTCACCACTGTTTCGATGTTACAGGGACTCAGTCATTAATCTAAATGTGTTTCAAGCGGTATCATTTCTGCCACTAGATGGAGGTCAACCCTGTATGAAATATGTTCTTTCTGTTATGTATTGCTGTTGCGTGAGTGTGCCTATTCATGCACAAAAATGCTTTTATTCCTGGACCAAATACCACACACATTCTGTAGCAAAACCTGAAAAAAAAAAAAAAGAGGCTGTTGCTTGTCGCCACAGAGCTCTATACATAAAAATACAGAATTTATACTTAACATTTTTGCATTTGTGTATGTATGTGGTGTTTTTCCATTCAATATGAAACCATTTCAATTCATGCCAGCGTATTTGTGCATTAGAAGTGGCATTGCTTTGACTGTTCCCTTGAGTCGACAATCAATACATCTGTGTTCACCTTGTGTGCAGCTGCTGCAGATAATAAGGCATCAGTGGGAAACATGGACGGCCAGGATGAAGGACAAGCAACTATTCTAGCCGCGTGACAGTTTTTATGAAGGCCAAGTGTTGCACAAGCATGCATAGCCTTCATTAAATACTGCACTATTCTTGTTCTCCCACACCCAATTGGACAGGAGGATTAGGATGGCTGTTAATTAGGACAAAAGTAACTTAATATTCATAAGCTACCTGAAAGCTTGAGATACTGATGCTTTGGGGATGATGGTGCCTGTCCATAAACCAGTGTAATAGTAATAGCAGTATCGTTCACATGATTTATATTGTTTTTTTAATTGACTAAAATAGTAATTTATCCGCATTAATTTTTAGCATGTTGGAAAGCATGATTCATAATTTTATACTCTGTCTTTGTTCTGTAGCTATATCACAGGTCCATAAGCTGCGTGGAGAAAGAGGCATAATTTCCCTCAGTGTTTCTATAGTAACGGTAGATTAAAAGCAAAACACAAACAAAATGAAATGGCACCTACTTGCCAAATCCTGTTCAACCATAAGATCCACTGTGACTTACCAGAGTGCCTCCCACCCGCTGAGAGAGCATGACAAGGCTGCAAATGAAGGGCACAGATTGGTACTGCTCTGGTGCTGCAAATCTCAACTCCCCTGTGTACATGATATCACTGTATCACTTAACGGTAGGAGGCATCACATGAAACATACAGTAGAAATACTGTGCTCCTACAGAATTATTTAATTTAACTGAATTTAGTTTTTTTCACATCTGAACACACCAAGATTGGAAACAGCTAACAAAATGACTGAATGAATGATTTTTTAAGATGAGGATGAACATTTATTACAGTTTTGCTTGATTTATCCTAGCTTCGACAAGGACCCAATGTGCAGACTTTCATTCTGTAAGCAATAGAGCTAAGAGCAGGGGAGCACTTTGAGACAGAGAGGAGTTGCTTTAAAAAGGACAATAACACCATATGCATATACAGAGGTATTCAGTATAAGCTCATTATTTTCTGTCTGAAAAAGAAAATGCCCATCCTCTATATGATACAGAAGAATGACAAAATAAAACCAATGGGGGATGCGGATTCCAGTGTGCTTGTGTGTAGTGTTATTAATGTCTTTAAAAGGTAAAACCAACACACAGTTTTTTCTTTTTCTTGGCACACATTGATTTTATAGTCAATGAGGCCCTAAGATTAATCACTGAGGTACACCACAATGCACCTTTCCAACGCTAATATGTTATTAGAATATAATATGCATTATTAGTGTACAGAGCCAATGAATGAGAGGAAGTCAGTGGTATTCTGCTAAAATACCAATGAGGTTTTCCTTGCAGCTCAGGGGATGCCATGAGATTAGAATGCCTTTTTATTTAAAATGCTGCATGAATAAGAGCTTTTTAATGTCAGTTTGATTTGAGATATTTCAGTGTTGTGCTGCAGACTGAGGCCAGCAAGAAGAAAGGAAAAGGCATATATACTGTCTGGGGTAAAGGGTAACACTTTCTAAGTCATAAGTAACTCAAAATAAGAACCAATCCAAATGTCATAAAATGTCACTATTGTGATTATTATGTTGAGCATGAAAGTTCATTCTTGACTTGGAAAGAAATGAAAATAAAATCGCGAGAGTTTGTCCTCTTCGTGGACAAAAAAGCAAACATGGGCTGATGAACGACAGTGAGGGATGAGGGTTGAAGGAATAAGTCAGCAAAAAGGGTCCTTGAGTTGTGTTTTGTGTGATTCTTTTGTGTTTGTATCCTTAGAGAGGGTTAAGCTTTAAATAGGGAATTGGAACTCAGCCATGGTTTTCTTCGCTGGGTTGTTCACGTTGTGTCAGTCGGCACTGCCGTTTCTCACGAGGCGTCCCCCTACAGCTTCTGGACGTGGTATTTCAAAACACGTTTCGGTTAAAAGAAATCACTTGCGGCACCCTTCCTCCCCCGTTTGCTACCCTGCTTGATGGTGCTTTGTTTTTCGTCAGGGCAACTTTGGTTCATGTGGGAGCAAGTATTCTACCGAGGGTGGGTAGATACATGGTAGTACCACTAACCTTATAGGGCGGCGTGTGCGGTTTATGGTGGAATTGCCGTAAAGACGTTTCGTGTTTCTCGCTCGTTCTCGGCTTCTGGCGCATGATACTTCCTATTTCCAATTTACCGGGTACGTAGGGTCCAAAGTGTCGCAAGGTTGGTTTTTGCCGCCTGGGGGTCGCGCTGAGGGGTGGAATCACATTTTCAAACGGAACAGGCCATTGTAGCCATCCAAGCATGATTTCTAAACGGGGTCATGATTAAGGCTAGAAGGAACAGTTGCCAAGTTCCCCTTTAAACAAGTATTCAAGCTAGCTCTGACAGGAAGTTTTGTAACCAGTAACAGCTTGTGCCACAAAGAAACACCTTGTTTATATTTATTAACTTAATATAACCAAGAAAGTTATATGAGAACATACTTTTCTTACAGTAACACTGAAAAATGGAACCGCAACAGAAATGACACAATAAATTTGGACAATGGAAACATTTAAAATTGATGTCTGGCATCACTGACATAATTAAACCACTGAGTTATTGAACGAGCACTTGAAATGATTGAATGGAAATAGCAGCTTTAAGAATGCTAAACATAAGACATGTTAAATCTTCATTAC